GGAGGCAGGCACTACTGCCTTCCCCACCTCCCAGTATGTCCTGCTGGGCTACATGTGCTTCCTGAACCTTCCTGCTTTCAGCCTTGACAGCCTTGTCACACAAGCCTTGGGGAACTTGGCCTTACAGCCCTGGAGCACCTCCTGCACCACAGAACTATTTCTTCTAACCCTCTCAAAGCCTCCCTGAGTTCAGTCACAAATTCATTCACAGGAGACTGCTGGACAGACAAACTGTCTTCCTCACCACACATGGCATCATGGGCTCTGCCACCAGAGATGGACACAGCTACTGCCACATGTTGTCCCCCAGCCTACCATGGGGACCAGAGTCAAAGAGACTCATTGATGGAACTGCAATCAAATTACCAAAACAGCTGGGGCAGAAAACTGGAAACTTTCCAGATAATTCTCCATTAGAAAGACGAACTTCCCTTCATCAAAACCCAGATCTCATTCTCATCCAGGGAATTTGGAGCTCCTGGCCAAAGGGAGGATGAAATCCTACCTGAGACATGGGCAGAAATCCTCCACAGTCACACTTGGGGGCAATGTCCAAGTCCAGTCTCTAACTCATTTGGACTGGAGACAGTTTTGGTAACTACCTGGCTCAAAGCAGCTCTCAGCCACAAGAGCCCATCCTGTGGCCCCAGCTGCCCAGCATGCTCTACTGCAGTACCCCACCAAGCTTCCCAGGCAGCAGCATTATTCTCTTCATGTTAAACTCCTCCGTGCTCTTCCCATGGGGCAGTCCTGGTGTGGCAGAAGGCTCCTCCCTGTGGGGCTACAATGGGAAGATCCATCAGACAAAGCACCTTCTCTTTAAGCTGCCTGATGACAGATGTTCAGCCAACGGAGCAGTGGGATTGGCAGAGCACTGCAGAAATGCTTTATAATTCCTGCTCCTCTCCTCCTTCCTCAGACTCTCCTGGGAGAGAGGCGATGATGAACGGTGACATAACTGACTGTTCCCAATCAAGGTAATGTAAGTAATGACAGCTGACGTGATTCCTGGAACGTGCAGGCGCTCCTGGCCCACGTGCCTTGCCTACCACAGGCAGCACCGCCAGAGCTTGTGGAGGGAGAGGAGACCAGAGCATAAAGCCTGGCTAGGGTACAGGGAGAGACAGTCCCAAGACAAGAGGCTGTCTCCAAACCAGCTGCAAATAACTCATTACATCAGTCTGCAAACACAGCAGGAGCCAAAGGAGGTGGATAGCATCTACATCATGGATCAAACCCTTCCTGGCCTGTGTACAATGCCTGCCCCACACCTGGACACCACACCAGAGTGACACCTGAGACTGTAGCACCCCTCGTCCTTAGGAGGTGGTGTGTGGGGGTCTTGCTTGGTCCCTCAAGGTTCAATGAGGCTTTTATTGCTCCAGACCTGGCCCTGCTCCCCCCATCATCCATGACTATCTGGAAACGGAACATTACATCAATAACCTGGACCTCACCTCCCCATGCAGCTGCTGCACAGGCAGAACTATGTCATCTGAACTCAAAGCAAGGGGGTGCAGCAGCCAGAGACTGCACATATGGGTGTTCAGAGACTAACAGAGGGAAAGAAAATACTGTGCAATCTCCTACCCACAGTCCTCTTCCAGAGCCTCAAAATTAGTAGGCAAATTTCATATGCAGAGAAACGACCGATTAATAACCCAGCATTGACTTAAGAAGACCCTGAATAATACATAGTGCTTGTACATGGAAGGAGAAGTCAAGTCCTTCTGCCTATCAAGTGTATCTGCCTCCCAAGCACCAACACCTGATGAAAAACCTCCCTGCCAGCCACACACAGTTCTAAGCAGCTCTTCAGAAATGGCTTTTGTTAAGATGAATTGTAAAACTTTGCACCAAGTTTGGCTGGCACTTGGACAGGTCCAAATATGGTGTTAGTTTAAATGTAATTAGTACTGTCCGTTAATAAAGTCCCTTTACAGCTGCCGAGAAGAAGACACTGCGGAGCATTTGGAGCCTTAACCATGAGGCTGCCCAAACCTCTCCTCCACCCTGTCTGCACTGCAATCCTTCCAGTAGCTCAGCCCTGTCAAGAAAAAGTCAGATCCAAATAGACAGAAGACTAGCAGAAGTTTAGATGCAGGTGCTGGGCTCCACCACACCATAATGACAGCAGATGAAGCTATGAATGAACTATTCCCTTGCACAGCTTGATTCCAGCTTCTGTTGTTTAATGTTGGTTTTGGTGTGAGACACTTGAGCAGTGGCATCAGTATCCCTGTGTGGTACTGTCTACTTTCCTAAATAATGATGTCTGGAGAAAAATTTGCTCCCTCTTTGAGAGTATTCCAAACCAGAAAAATGGTGTTTACCTTGGCAACAGCCATTTTTGTGTAGGGGATACATACAAAATGCTCATTCCGAGAGGGGTGAAATGCTGCACAGCACTAGGGATTTGTGTAGGCAGCTTCAGTGAAATACTGTGTATCTCAAGTGAGTTAATTTTTGAGATGGGGAGAAAAACTGAACAGCAGCTCAGGCAGAGGTTCCCAGCAACTGGTCATTCTGACTCTTGCGGCTGAGTGACTCTCCTGTGCATCATGAGGATGCTGCAGAGATTTAATGCCTGCAAAGCAATTTGAAAGTGAAAAGCCTCACAAACAAGCCTTGTGGCTGAAGTCCAGAGGCAGGAGAGACGAGACCTAATTTCTATTTCAATCTCTGATATGGATTCAGAGGAAAATCATCCAATCCCCCATGCCTCAGTATCCCCGCAATAACATCTGTTGAGTGGCCTGAGCCTAAATTCATTCATGTCTTTAAAGAATTTTAATATCTACTACCTGAAGACCAAAGGACCATCACTACACAAAACATGAGCTGTGTACAGCACAAGGTCAGAAGGCATTTTAAAAAGAAGCCACCCAGTGCAAAACACAATGGAATAAAAGTGAGCAGGAAACAAGATTTGCCTTCTTCAGATGTAAATGAGTGCCAGCTAGCAGCAGAGCTCCAAAGACACCCATTTTAGCACCAGAAAGAGTTTCTACAAAGGGACCCAAGAAAAAAATGTGATAAACAGGCTCAGTTCTCAGAGTTTGATTTCCAGAGTAATAAGCACAGAAACTGAGCCCAAAGGAAAGATCTGTATTAGAATCCAAATCCAATCATTCTGATAATAAAGAAAAGACATCTGAACTGGTGCAGAACTATTTCCAGAGAGAAGTTTGTCTCCCCATCCCTTTAACATCCTGCAGTGGCTCAATGGAAAAATACTTAAGAAGTTGCAAGTTTGGTCATAATGTGTAAAAAGCCCCTGAAATGCGACATCATTTACTCTTCTGTGGTATTGCTCAGCAGAGCTAATAAATCTTGCATGAGCAGAGCTGATTCTAATTTTCTAATATGAAAAGGCATTTGGATTGAGAGAGAGGGGAAGATAAAAGTGATTGAATCTCCAATAGCCCAGCGTCAGTGACAAGAAACATCCTGCTATGGACCCCAAGGAAGAATGGCTCCCCCTCCTCCCTGAACCACAGGCACACTCACCTGCTTGCACATCCAATTCTCCCTGCTTTCTGCTCGCCACGTCTCAGTCTCCCCTATTGACAGGACGTGGTTTTAAACACAGTTACACAAGTTATCATTTCTGCCTTTTGATCAATCTGAATTTTCAGGACAATTACCCCCTTAATCAATGATTGCTATCAGCAGCCCCTTGGATTCTTCACCAAGGCAATCGTGCCGCCGGGGCAGACAGCGTGTGCATATGCAATGAAGCTGCGGGGAGGCACAAGTCCATCTTCCCCTGACGTAGTCATCGGCTGAAAGGGTGGAGAACTGTGAAGGCCACTTCAAGGAACACCTGACGTAAAAAATAAGTGGAGGGAATTAAAAGGGACGTTGTGCGAGGTATCTGTGACACAGCTGGGCTGGGGGGATCAGGGACCTGCTGAACATAACATCGAGTTGAAAAATAAGCCAACTAACCCAAGAGATTTAACATCCACCAAAACCATGTATTTAAGAGCTATCTATAGCCAGCACTAACCATTCTTAATGAGGCTAATAAAGTCAGTTTCCAATTAGAGACTGAAACACTAGAAGAAGGAAAGGCAGAGAAGCAGCTTTTAAAAACCTCTGAAGATGTGGGATTTGGATATGGGGCTTTCTTTATTTTTTTTTTCCATCAGAAATTACTTAATATCACCAAAATGCCCCTAGGATTTACGCACACAAAGCAAGCCCCCTGCTGCTGTTCCTTGGCAGGGTATGTGTTTCAGTAATTGATGTTTGCACAGAACCTCAGATCTTGGAGGATGTGGCTCCTTTGAGGCATCTCTCAGCACCACAGAAACATGGCCTCAGGTATTTAGACACCACAGGAAACCTCAAAGCAGCCAAAACCCAATTGCAGGGGTTGTGGGCTGGCTGGAGTAGAATGCTTGGTATCTCTTCTCTTGCAAGAGAACCACCAGGCTGTTGGCAGGTTCATGACACTTGGTTTGTGTTTCCAGACAAGGCAGGGCAAAGGAACACGTGGCTCCCACCCACACATCTCTCTGGGCTGCTCCCTCGACAACCTTAAGTGCATCCCCATGGCATGGGACTCCTTAGCACTCCTTTGGGTATTCTGCCCAAAACATACCTCAGCCAGGCCTAGGCACCATTGTGTCTTCCTGAGCCATCTTTTCCCAGACTTGGAAAGCACCCTGCACCTCTCATGTGCTGTGTCAGCAGGAGGGAGCTTTGGGACCTGAATGGCAGCAGGAAAATGCTGCTGGAAAGCAGCTGAGCTCCTGCATAGGAAGGCATTGTGGTGGCTTCACCATTCTGACTACCAGATCAGGATGGCAGAAAGCAACAGAGGCAGCGCCAGGTGAGGCTTGTGGGCCAGCTGCCTTTGCAGGCTGCTGGCTGGAGGAGCTCTCTGAAAGGCACAGTATTTCACTAGTTATTTTGCATGGAGAATTGCCGACCAAAGATATCCCCACTGTGTACTCCAGAGCAATAAAAATAAAAAAAAACCACAAGAAGAATTCTTTAGGCGGGTAATGGGCATTTTATTCCTTTTTATGACACTAAACATAGGCAGCTGGCATAATTACAGCACAATAAAGGCATAATGTGCACCTAGCAGAACAAACTCATACTTTTGATAATTAGGCAGAGCAAACACAGTCTGGTATTCAGTCACATGGCTTTCCTGTCTCCTGGATCTGTCAGAGCCCCTATCCCCACAGCACATCAGCCACATTCTTACAACTGGATTTAGCTGGGCCCCATAGGGAAGGCTGAGCATGGAGCGTGTCACTAGGATTCTCCTGCACCAAGAGGAATGACCATGCAGCTCCACTGCTTAGAGCAGACAGTCTGTGGGCAGCTCCTGGGAGGTTGCTGGAAACTGCGTGAGGCAGAGTTACCAGCCGAGGATCAGTCACCTCCTGATTGGCACAGACTGTCCCCAAGGGGAAGGAATGGTGCAGCAGAACCAGCTCCAAGGGCAAAACAGACGTTGTACAATGGCAAAGGGAGACCCAAAACACAGGAGAGACTCAGAGCTGTTTCTGATTTGGCAGATCTGCCAAGACAAGTTCCTTCCTACCTGGAAAGGCTGAGCAGAGGTGTGGGGACACACCTTCACTGCAGTGGCCAAATACAGTTGGTGCCAAAAGGCAAGAACAGAATGACATGTCCCAGGGAGGCTGAAAGATCGTCACCTACAGAAAAAAAGGTCCACTCTGGACCTGCTGGAGGCTAGCAATTAGCTATTTGAAAGTTTTGTGCTACCCTTAGTCCCAGTAGACCTGCCTCCTCCAAAATACACTGTCAGGCAAGAAGTGCACTCCTCTGGCAGCTGCAGCATCCACACAGGACAGCTCTTCCCTGAGTGAGCGCAGCCAAGGCAGAGATCCCAAATAATCTCTCAAATATTAACAGCACCACTCAGAGCCAGGCTGACAGAGGTTACCACACTGGCAGAGCACAGAAAACAGGCTTTCCTGAAATTGGCACAAAACCATAAAATATATATCTACAGTTTGTTTAAAAACACATCTGCAGGATGCATGCAGGAGGAGCACTGGCAGAACAGTACACTGACATTTCATCTCCACACCACTCAAACCATTTGGGATGTCAACCAATGCTTGGAGGAGAGACACAGCTCAACTACATTCCATCCTGCATGGCTTAATGGAAGTCATTTGCTTTAAGGCATTTTGAGTGCAGTGTTGAAATGCCAGTGTCCTGACTCAAAGAAAGGTGAGGTGGATGGAGCTGATCCATCAGCTGATCTCATGAGTGAGACTTACAATTTCAGCTGTGGATAGGATGTCCAGGAAAGTATGAAAAAACATGATTATGAGCTTTTGCAACACAATATTTAATACAAGGAAGGAAAGATGTATGTTTGTCAGTAAATAAAAGCATCTTGCCCTACCACACCTACTGACACCCAGAAGGGACTGCTGAGAGCTTGATGGGTACTGAGCAAGCTTAGGAATGGCCATTTGCTCAGGAGCTTTGGTACCCTATAAAAAGATGGCAGCAGCACTCATGTCAGAGCACCCAAGGAGCAAATGATCCTGGTCTGTAGGATACAGTGCCTAGGAAACTGGGAAAACCAGCCATTGTGGGATAGACCCTGGTTGGGCTCATGCTTCGGAGTGATGAGAGCTGCCCTCCCCAGCAGGCCACAAAATAAGAGAAGTTTATGCCCAAACAAGGGCAAAAGATGGGTTGTTTTCTAAACAAATGTGGATCATATCTGTAGACTTTTCAGCCAGTTCTTATAAAAGCCACTTTGATAGATTCAATCCTTGAGCTGCAGGCAGAGTTCAAGCACGGAAACCTGCAAGTGAAAGAGCAAAAGCCAGGATGAAGCCAGAAGTGCTATGCCAGCATGGGGGGAGGGTGACAGGAGACTTTTAATCCTAACTCTGAAATCAACTTCCTTAGTAGCCTTAGGGTTCTTAGGGATTTAATTAATTAATTTAATGAGTGTGAAGTACTGCAAGTTATTAATATACAAATTCCACTACTGTATCTCCCATCTCACTGCTCACTATCTCTGGCTGCTTTATACTGATCCCACGAGAAGCCAAAGCCAAGCCCTGGTATGCTTCTGTGCAATGGGGCAGAGGCTGCACACCCACACTTTCCCAGACAAGACACCAGTAGCAAAGTCCCAATCCTTTCAGTAGGACAGTGCATCACACACAACACAGGGCACCAGGAACATCTCACACCAAAAAAAAAAAAAAAAAAAAAAAAAAAAAAAAAAAAAAAAAAAAAAAAAAAAAAAAAAAAAAAAAAAAAAAAGAAAAAAAAAGTTCTGTTCTTCCCACTTTCAGGTAGCCAATGGCTACCATAAACTATCCTATTGTTGCTGGTGGCAATGGCAAACAGTCACTCTCCCTTTTGTAGCTATGTTGGCTTGGGAGGAAAATGAGGACCAAAACAGGTAATGTTTTAATCCCCAAGGCTAGAAAATCTGAGAGCTCATCATACCTTCCTGGAGAACTGCAAAAGCCTATTTTCATGCTCCTACATGGAGGTCCTGTCTTTCAAATAAATGCTGAGAAAACCAGCTCTTCTCCCAGGCACTAGGCAGCTGTGCTGATACTCAAGTAAAGCTCCAGATGAATGTCTGGGATTCAGGGATGCTCTGTCCCTTGCCTTTCCCATGGGACTCTAGGAAAGGCCATTTTTCACACATTTGTGCCTTCAACTCCCAGCTCCTTCCTCAACCTGCAAACAGCAACCATGGAACAAATGTCTGAGCAGTATGTTTAACCTCAGCAGCAGCAGACAAACACAGCCAGATGAAAACCAGGAAGCTCCTCGGTATAGGGGACAGATGTTCAAATCCCCCAGCATGGGGAATGAAGGCACCGTGAGGTGCAGCCGAGCAATACAGCACTCAGCAGGAAGAGCAGCACACAAGGTCTGAGCAGCTGCCTTTCTGCCTTTTGCCTGCAGCTAAACCAATGTGCACAGACAAGGATGCTTTTGGTAAAGTGACCATGGCAGTGTGCTCAGCAAAACGCTGCTCAGAATTTCACTTAAAAGGCAAATCTTTTGCCCTGGTTAAAAAAAGCTGAAAGGCAACAATTTTTCCTCTCTGCTTTGTCCAGTAGCTGCAGGCTATATGGGGCCAAGGAACATAATAGTGCTCCTCAGTTTCTCTTGAATCAATACCTTCTGACATTACCTGAGAGCTCTCTGTTTCACATGTGGCTACAGGAGGCCCTGGTTCTTACTTGAAGCCCAAAGGCACTGCCAAATAATAAAGTCTGCCTTGGGATCTTTCCAGTTCAAACATCTGGGATTTGGGCAGACAGAATCATGAGGGGAGTGGAGACTGTACATGGCACCCAAGGGAAATACCCCTTCTTTCCCTGCTCACGTACTCTTGAGTTTCAGTGATGTGTCCCAAGGAATGCAGACAGCCCATGTCCCAATGCAAGGGCAAAGGAAGTTGTATCATAGCACACAGGGCAAACAGGAGGGGAAAAGTGATGACTGACTGTCTGCTTCAAGGCAGGACCAACTCTACCCAAACCATCCCCATCACCTTCTTCTGAACTCACAAGAGCTAGAGGTCCCATATCCCTCCTCTTATCCATGGAGACTGCTTACTTATCTTCCTGCAACAGGAAGAATGTGATCGAGAGCCATACACCACAACCAGTCAGAAATTGAGCACTTTCATTCCTCAAAAATTATTTCTGCTTAGTCTTCTCTAGGCTGAATATCCCAGATCATAGAAGCAGTTAGGTTGGAAAAGACCTCTGAGATCATGGAGTCTAACCTATGACCTAACACCACCTTGTCAACCAGACCATGGCACTGACTGCCACATCCAGTCTCTTCTCAAACACCTCCAGTGATGGTGACCCCACCACCTCCTGGGGCAGCCCATTCCAATATGTGATCACTGTTTCTGTGAAGAAATTCTTCCTAAATGTCCCCACGTGCAGCCGGAGGCTTTGTCCTCTAAATCCTCACTCTTTCTCTGGAGGTCATGTCTTCCAGTTCTCTGACCCTTCTGTTCCTCTCTGGGCTTTTCCACCTGTGGTAGGTCCTCCCCAAATGCAGAATGTGAAACTCTTTTGTTCCAAAGGCTAAGACCAGGCTGCAAAACACCCTGCCTAGGAAAAGAGGTGAACTTTAACATGCACCTAGCACATTTTTAGTATGCATTATCAAAAGACAATGTAGGAGAACCCTTAATGGTAAAGAAGTTAATGTGTGTGTGAGATGCCATGAGAATACATGCAGCATAGCTATGAGAAGGATGGAAGGATGTTCCAGGAAGAGCTTGTTGTTAATAGGACCAAAACACTAAGGCGTCCCCTTTACCCTGGACTAGATCTAAGTAGTTTCCATATAACTTACATGAACCCTCAGGGGATCACGTTTCCTGTCTCTCTGAACAATTTGTACAGACACAAGTTCCACAGAAAATTGCTCCTGTGTTTTGACAATATAATTTAAAAAAAAAAAAAAAAACAAAATCAAAAACCAAAGGAGAGGAAATACAAAATCATTTGATTTAGGCAATAATGGACACTATTTCTGCCCTCCTGAGATGGGCATATATGTTATCATCCAAAACTAGTGAAGCCTCCAGGCTGCATCTAGAGCCCCTCTCAGCTGTAGCAAGACCAGCTCCTGAAACTGCAAGGAATGGAAATGAAATGTGAGGCTGGGATCATTACTTTGAAACTATAAGCTCGTGCCACTGAGCCAAAGCCTGTTATAACGACATGGGTTTGTGTCACCCAGCAGCAGACATCATTCTCCATCTCTGCCTGCTCAGTTCTTCTCCTCCCAGGACAGCTGGCAGCACGGTCATCCGCAATGCTCTGCAGAGTCTAGCTACAGAAAGCTCCCAACACCTTGCCCAGCAGGTTAAGTTATAGGACTGAGCTACTGCAGACTGGGGAGTATCCTGCTGACTACTCCATCACATTTGGAAGCTGCTGGCAAAGCACAAAGTGCCACTTGTAGAGGAGTAAATAGCAAAAACCTTGAGTTCCCTTCTCTGGTAAAGAGAGCCCAGAGGGAGGTCTTGTTTCTTAAAGCCTCCAATGTTTAAAAGTCATTGAATTTGTACCTCTGCTGTCACAGAAGATACTTCTACTCTGTGTTTCCCGTCACCAGCTTAGGCAGCAACTCTGAGGAAGGGAGACAGCCTTGCCTGGCAGTGAGTCCCAGGCTGAAAACGTCAGGGGCAGAGCCCTGAGCAACAACTACTGTCCATGTAGCCCACATGCCATGTCTGTACTTTGTTTTATGTGAAAGAGGATGTCAAAATCAATCCTGATGATTACTCTGTACTATGTGAGCACTCTACCTTAGTATGTATTGCACAACTCCTTGGTCAATTTGGTTACAACTTGTAAGGAAACTGAGACATCAACCCATGCTGTATATTCTTCTAATGAATCCAGAAAGACAAAAGGGAGAAGATTGCCAAGAACTTCCAGAATGCCCTGCCTATTGGTTTGCCTTGGAAGTACATTTTTACTCAGCACTCCTTATTAAGTAAGAAAGGAAGTTACACTGCAAAAGGATGGAAAGGGCTGCTCCTTTAAGGCCTCTCCTGGATGCCCTTTACCATTGAGATGACTATCCTCAACTCCCTCCTCATCTCCCTCCCTTTGATTTAAGAGTTCCTCTCCTGGCCCTGACAGTAAGGTATTTCTGTCCCACAGATTATAACTCACTCTGGGCTATTATTCAACTCCCAAGCCCTGGCCCTGCTGCATTTAGTCCAAACATAATATCCTTCATGCATATATTATCTGTCTCCCTATTATCTGGAATCATTTCGGAATTAAATTTCAGTCCCGCAATATTGGCTTGAAGAGCGGCTCGCTTTATGGGCTAGTCAAAGGTTAGAATACCAATCAAAATAACACTGCCGATGCAGAGAGACATTTTAATATTCCAAAACCCGGTAATTGTAAAAGGACATAATATTTTTTCCCTGATTACCCCAAAGGCAACACATGTTAACAAGGCAAGGGAGAGAGTGAAAGAAATTTCAGAGTTCAGACAGCTGCATGACAGATTTAAAGGAGAAGTCGTGGATGGCTGCTGTGCTCCATCTGACCGTGCCAGAGGTGCCGTGCTGCCCAGGATGCTTCCCCCTCCATTCCCAGCCTTGTGTTGTTCGTGCTGTCTGTGCTCCTCCAGCCAGGAACCCTCGAGAGTGCTCTCACTGCAAGGGAACAGAGCGGCCAGAGCTGTGCAGGAGGGACAGGCAAAGATCATCACAGTAGAAGAAACAGCCATGATCAGCTGGCTTGACCTGGACATGCCACAGCACTGCCCCAAATTCCTGTCTGAACCACAGCTGACATTTTTAGGAAAAAAGCTTTCCCTTCTGAGCTGGATTATCCATCATAGCCCTCGGTAAGTTGTTCCAATGGTTAATTACCCCACACTGTAAAGAGCTGCACCTGAATTACCTTGCTTTGGCTTCCAGGAACTGGAACTGCTTATGCTTTTGTCTGCTTCCATGAAGGAACCTCTTGTCACATCTTGGCTCTCTCTTTAGATATTTGGCAACTACAGCCCTTACCCTTCTCTGGTACCCTAAACGGCTCCCAGGGTTGTTACTGGATGGTGAATGCTCCTCTGGTCTTGCACTTCTCATCCAGTCTTCAAGTTTCCAGAATTTTTTCTGATGCAGATGGGATCCAACATCCCATATTGGTCAAACCAAACCCAGAGAAAGAAAGGATCCAGCCCCTTTGCTCCTCCTCACCATTGCCTGTTTATAAATCCAACAGCAGCCACCTTCTAGATACAGTATCTGCACATGTTATTGAAAATGATTTTTATGTTTTCTTTCAGGGCATTGACAGAAGTGTTAAATACAAGAGGTCTGAGAAATAGATCCCTGTGGGACCCCACTAGGAAGACATGCACTCCATGATGATTATCCATTTACAATTAAATGCTAGGAGCTGTCAGTTTGCTCTTTCTTAATCAATGTAATGTGTGCCATGTTGATTTTGTATCACTCTTGTTTCTTAATCAAAATGTCATAAGGTACCAAGTCAAATGCCTTCCAGAAGTATATTACATTGACATGGTTACCTTTATCAACCAAACATGTATTCTCATAAAAAAAATATCAAGTTAGTTTGAAAAAGATCTAGTTTCCATAAATCCACATTGATTGGCATTATATTACCCTCTTTTCATTCTTTATTAATCAACGATGATATCTGGCTTTTCATTACTTTGCCCAGAATTAATGTCAAGATGATAGGGCTATAATTACTTCATCGGTCATCCCATTTGCCCTTCTAAATTACTGGTACAACATTAGCTTTCTTCCAGTCCTCTAGAACTTCCCACATGTTCAAAGACTTATTAATAGTCCAGGGCATCTCAGCCAGCTCTTTAAAACTCCTGTAAAGCAGCTATGCAAAATGCCAGCCAATTCACCACTTGACTTCTATCAGAAAATTGTGTTGTAACAGCAAACCTCTTGCTCAGCAATATGGCAACCTCTGCCTTTCTGTAAATACAGAGCAAAGTATTTATTAAACACAGTCATTTTGCTGTTATAAGCCATTCCTTCCATTTCCTTCCAACTATGAACCAATGCCATTTCACAGACACTTTCCTTTCCTCATCTCCTTGAAAGAGATACTCTTATTTCCCTAGCCCTGGAGTCACACTTCTCCTTGTGTTTCCTTTCACATTTCTGCCCTCTGAGACTTTCCAAAGCCAAGAGCTTCACCCATGGGGTGAGGAACCAAGAAAGCCCTGGTCCCACTGAAGGAAGGTTTGACAGGATCTCAAAACAGGCACCCATGCTGCAAACCAGCAAAGCCCTGGCACAGTTAGGAGACAACATTTTTTCATGTGCTTTATGCTCTGGCCATGAAACACTTTGCCTGAGGAGTCCTCCTCTGGCATTTCTAATCTTACTAGGAATTTTATATTCCCTGCAGCCAGTAACTCAATAAACAAGAAATTGATAACAATCACTCTAAGTCCTCAAAAAGTTAGACCTCACAAAAACAACTTCCAAATATATGGGTTAACACATAAACTATTTCTCACCCATTTTAACGATCTTCATCTAAAGCACTCAAGACACTTCAGCACTAAGTGCCTGAGAAGTACTCACAGCCCTGCTTCCCACTCCAAAGGCAGAAAGAATTGTTAATTCAGAGGAGAGACAGAAAGCTGTTAGCAAATCTTTGTTTGTTTAAGATGTGTTTATTTCTAGTAGCCAAATATTAACAAAAACATCCTATTACATGCTTCCTCTGACAGATTTCACAATGCAAGTAGGTGACCTTAAAACATTTATGGATGTGTATTAACAGTTTGTTTCCAAACAGGAATATCTACAGATCAGTAAAGGCTGACCCTGGAAAAGGCCAGGTCTGTGCACAGCCACAGCACCCCAGCATGGTCACGTCGTGTTCCCCAAGGCTCTGTCAAGCCTGTTTCATGTCCAGAGAGGGAAAGTTGCATTCCTTCACACACGTCATTCAATTCTTGCCTTTCATAAAAACTTCCCTGAATTTCAGGAGGATGTCAAACAAAAGACCAGTTTTCTCTCACTCCTAAAGCAGCCACTATTACTGTATCTAAAGACATGCTGCAGCCTCTGAACAGAAATCAAAGATGGTCAAAGATGCCAGGATAGCTGTGCAGAGAAAGGGACAGCTCTGTGATGGGTATGAAGATATTGTCTTCTTTAAAACTAAATAAATTAAATATAATTTGAGAAACAAGGAATAAAACAAACCCTTAGTGGATACATAAAAATCTCCTCTTATCTTTTAAGTACAAAACATACAGAGAATAAATGGAAGACCAGGAAGGATAGTGCACACATATTAAGAATTCCACAAGTCACAAGCTCTAGACTCACAGAGCCCACAAGTGCCTTTGTGCAAGCCCCCCAACAAATTTTGCTGTGCTAGAAAAGACAATTGAGCAAGAATATGACTGAGGTCTCAAATCAAGAGTAACACCATGAAGAACTAGAAACGTGTTCTTTCACACAATGCAAGGCCTAGGTCAAAGAAAATAATCTGACAATAGGTTTAAAAGAAACAAAGGGACCTGCATCTTCACAGAATGTATGAGTAAACAGAGTATAATTGATGCATAATTAAATAGCAAAAGTCATTGCCATAGGATGCTGTAGAAACTGAAAGCATGAGCAGACTCACAAAAGGGAACACAAGTTTCTGGTAGATAGACATGGTAAAAACAGTGGGTGCTAGATAGAGTGGTCCTGGAATAGCTCTCAGTTCTTGAGGAGACAATTGCTGGGAATCAGACAAAGCTTTTCCCTGTTACGCCTGCAAGCATCAGCTACTGGCCTCTGGCATAAAGATAATCTGGGTTACATATTTAGTCTGGGTTACATATTTTGATACCCTAATCATCTTTCTAACATTCTTCTTGCACAAGCTCATTGTAAGAAAATCTATCTTCACCCCTCTTCTTCTACCTCCTCCCTCCTTTAAGCCGTTCTCCCTTCAGTGATATGCTCTCAGCCCAGTGGTGCTGACAACTCCTACTGCCTGCTGGGTTTCCCATTCCCAGGTTCTTCGACACCTTGTGATTGTGGGCACTGTGTCCTCAGCCTAACATAGCACTGGTTCTAGCCCCAGGGCTGAGGATTCATCACAGGATCAACCATGCTGCTAACTCTAGTGGGACCTGGAAAACAAACCACAGAGGTTCCTGAAAGAGCAGAGGAAGCACAAGTGAGAGCTGATCCTTGTGTTAGAATAAGCAGTAATGGGTTTACCAGGGTACCTGAGGATACTCTTGGGGCAGAAGCTTGGTTGTAGCTTGCTAGCTGCAGCAGCTTTCCTTTTTGCATAAATCTTGACCCATGGTCTCCTGCTTTCTGCACACATAACTCCACTGGTGCCCCTCTCTCCTGACATGAAGCCCTCTCTGTTATTCCCACCCTGAGCATCCAGCTACAGTGATGTAGCTCAGGTTCTGCACCTCCCCTAACCCATGGGGCCTCTGCAGATCAACATGACAGATCCCTAAGGAGAACTGGCAGATGGGATGGTGGCTCTCTATTGAGATGGTTTAGGGGGATATCTGAAATGTTGCAGCATTCAAATAAAGCCTCCTCTGCTTTCTGCTCCCCTCCCACAAGGCTGAACTAATCAAAGTGAAGAACATGATAAACTCTCTGCCCCAAGTCAGCTCTACACTGACAGTTCACTAGAGATACAAGATCGCTCAGTGACATTAAAAATGTCAGCAAACACCAACCAGGCTTGACAGAAGGGATGCATTAGCAGGCTGGCGGGGCACAGGGCAATGTAAAACTTCAGCAAATATGGTCAAGTGCACAGGCAGATTTTCTCCCCCCATCTCCTCCACAGAAGGCTTTTTAACAGATCCCAAGACATTGTGGCCACCACTGCAGCAGTCAGGTGTGGAGCTCACCACCACCTGAATGGCCAGATCAATCCAACAGGGTTTGCCTGAGGCAAAGCAATAGTGACAATTACTGGGGGCAATTCCTGTCTCCAGCTTGCCCAAAAGGCAGGTCTTGGAAATTGTGAAAGCTGCCTGCAGGCACGAAGTTCTCACTTCAACTGTTCCTGAAACACAGCAGTGAAAAGGGACGTTTATTAGCAAATGAACTCTGAGAAAGACTCACCACTGCAGGAAGATCTGCTGAGCTCTGGAGCATCCCACTCTCTGGCAGAGGGAGTCCAGACAAGGACTGTTTTTTTAAAATGATACAAAACAGAGACAAAGAGGACCTGAAGCTTTGTGTGCCTTGGCAGAGGAATCTGGAACGTAGTTTTGTTGCTACTGCAGTACACATACCTACAGAAACTTGTCTGTGTGTAATCCTACTTCAGCATTGCCTGGTAGTTGCAACAGGAGCTCCGTAGTTCAAACAGGTCCCCTTGTCATCACTGCTCATAAGCAAAGACTCAAAGAAGATACAGCAGGTGCAAGTGGGGCCATCCTTCAGGAAACTGATCCCTGTCATATGTGCCTGTATTCTTGAGATCTGAAACATTTAAATCTCTGCATTATCCATGACCTAGAAATCATCGGTTTCACACTGCAAGACCCACCCACCCTCCAACACCTTCACTTATTTCATGGATCAGGTCAGAGGCAGATTCAGCCTAGGAGGTATTTCTAAGTCAGAAATGTGCCAGAGGGAGGGGAAAAAGGGCCACCTGAGCTATGCAGAGACCAATGGAGGGCTAGTTACCTGTCCACTTGGAGCTCATTCAATAGAGACTGAGTCTCTACTGAGTCCATCTGCTTTGACAGAATTAGTTATCTAGGCAGGAAATTCTCTCTTGTGAAAACACACAGAGAGTTAACTCCACAAGCACCTGAAAGCAGCGCATGGCATAGAAAGATCACCACCCCAGGGTAAGAGCAAGTCCTAGGAGAAGCAGCTCTTAGCCACAAGACAGGAGAGGCCCCGGCTCTTCTCTGCAACATGAGTCACTTCCCAGAGGGACACCGGGTCCCTGGAACCATTCTGTGTTCAGAGGGTGTCAGGTATTACAGTGTCAGAAAAACTTCATTGTTTTTAAAGGACTAGAGAGGCTGGAAGAAGATAAACATTTCTCTCTCACATTCCCCTTCCTGCACAATCTGAAGGAGGTTGAAGCTTTACTTTCCAAGTAACACATCTGCAGAGGAGGACAACCCAACCCACGTGCCCCCATCCTACATGCTCAGCATGTGACCCTTTAAGGGACCTGGAGAGGGGAACATTTTACTGTAACAACTTCCCTCCTGCCCCTGCCTTTAGCTCTGTGCTTGGGGCTTCATGGATGCTTAGCAGCCCTCAGCTTAGTATCACAGTATCTGCTGACATGCAATACATGAATGCTCATCTTGAAGAACAGACATTTGCCTGGACATCTACATAATAACGAGTCCCAGCTCTTAACACACTAAATCCAGAAGCCTTGAACTATGGGAAAGTGCCATAAGTCTTTCATCCTGAGGCCCAGAGGAGGAGCATGGCTGGATCAACCTGCTTCTTAGCAAACATCACAGTACACAGGGATATTTTTTTTTTTTTATTTTTTTTTTTTTTTTTTTTAGTATTATTATTCTGCAGCCATCAACCTGCTGGTTATATAGCTGCTATCCATTCACCGGAAGTTTAGTGAACTTCAAATGGCGATCATTAATGGTCACTGAACTGCAGAATGCCCCAATGTGCTTTCAGATTTCATTTACCAAGGACCAGCAATCAGCCAAAAGATTTGCTCTGACAGCAGGGAAATACAAGACCCTTTGACAAGTTCAGCCAGGAATGTGCTGCCAGCATCCCTTGTTAAGTTCATGTTCTACCCTATTTGATGGAACAGATCATGCAAATTGTCCTTCTGCGGCTGCTCAGCCTGTCACTCACACTTCCATTTAAAACAATAAATAAATAAAAGAACAAAAGAAAAGCCCGCAAGAACAATGAGCTGTTTATAAGAAAATCCTCTTACTGAGACCCTTAATTACCAGGAAAAGGCATAGAAACCCAAATAAAGCACTAAATTGGATGGGGGAAGGGAATCTTACTCATATAAAGGTTTAACCAGGAGGGCTACCCCAATTTCTCTTGTGCACAGACCACAGCCTCCTCCCTCACCCTGCTCCTGCTTGTAATCACACTTGTTCTTTTCTTCCCATTTTGGTTTGTGACTTATGGCATCACCATGTTTTTCTGTGCAGATGAAGCAGCTGTGCCAGGAGTCCTTGTGGATGCAGAGCATGCTGCTCCTAAACCACCCAGTGAAAGTGTGCAGCAAAAGACAAGGCACCAGACAGTGCTCAGTCCAAGGCATTTTGCTTAACAAAGTGATCACTGATCTCCTAGGTGGATGTGCTGCTGAGACCGCTTCCCCTTCCCCACACCACAAAGAGAAATGATGATTTTTATATTGGAGTATTTCCACATTTATTAACTGGAATCTCATCTGACTGGAACCATGCTCCTAGGAGCCTTATATGGCTGCAAAACAAAATAAAGTCAGCAATACTGGCAACAACACAACCTTCACTGAAAAGGGGTCTCACAGTGTCCCAATATTATGCAGATATTGCGCTGTGCCTGCCACAATGGGATTCTCCCCAGCTGCAGAACACATCCCATCAAGTACAGTAAGACTCTATTAGAGGAGATACAATAGGGAGCTGGAGGACTCGCTCTGCCCAGCTTCTGAGAAAATAACTCATTTCAATGCAAAACAGCAGTAGTTATTTGACACCTCCTTAAAGAGGAAAAGTGAAGGACAAGGGGAGGAGGGAGACAGGGAGATAGGGACCATTGCAGTTTGCACAGAAGTACCTTTTTCAGATTAATCCACTGTTTGAAGTAATCAGCAACCGGCAGCCCTAAATACTGGCATTGTCCTGGTAACCTGTAAGACAGAAAGAGCAAGTTTGATTCAATCAGTGCCTTGACAACACAAACTCTGTTTTCTTAAGTGCATTTTGTTCAGAGATGGAAAAGACTCTCAAGTCTGCTGTAACATCATACTGCACATCAGAAACACTATAGCTCTTCACAAAAAAATCTCATGAGAATACAGCTTGGCTTAAGACTTACATCCAGGCACAACCAGGCTGCTGAAACCTTTTAGACTAAACATTTTGAACAGTTGTGTACAGCTCTTCTCCACACTGGCTAACACACAAACGACTGGAGTACCCAGGCTCTCCTTGGCTAAGTAAACTCATCACAAATCCCTGCAAAACCATCCTGCTCTGCCAGCAGATTACAGGGCAGACAGAAGGACTGACAATTCACCTGTCATGCTCTGGTGCTTCTCCATTTGGTCTTTTTGGTTAAAGCATCAAAAGAGATATGAAGGAGGGAAGGAGGTACCAAAGCATTAATTTTTTGGACAGCAATGCTGCAGGGCTAAGAAAGCAGAGGCTGTTTTCCAAGCAGGTGCTTGGAAGAAGAGAGCAGACACAACTCTTAAGATACAAGGTGGTGCACACTGTCTCACTAGGGATGTGAGTACAGCAGCCAGAGCTGTAAGCACACATATTGATTCTCTCCCTTCCTACAGCAAGCCGATGGAATAGGGCTCAAAACAAAACAGCACCAGTAAGAGAAGTGGATTGCCTGAAGGGACAGCAGCACCTCAGGAAAGCTGCTTCTCCCACACTGTGCCGATCCCAGCGTGTTTGCAGGGCAGCGAGGACGTGCCCCTCAGCTGGGGAACGCTGAGTCGCAAACCGTGTGGCTCCAGCCAAGCCTGTGCAGGGACATGAGTTATGTGAGTATTCCCTGGCCACTTTGATCTGATCAAGAGTAATTGATGGATCTTGTTCATTCACATACTGCTGAGCATGCCTGGGGCACTGGTCACAGGATCTTTAAGTGAAGCAAAGGAACATCCCAAATAAATATGTCAACTAAATAAATGACTAAATTAGTGCTGTTTGTGCATGTTAAAAGTCACAACCCCAGAAATCAGCTTTTGCAAACAGAGAGGGTGGGGAATCTCCCAACTTCCTCAGGCACATGGGGGTTGTAGGAGGAGATTGTAGGGGAGGAGGAGGAGCTAGAAGTGCCAGCATCAGCTGCTCAAACATCTGAACACAGACCACCTCATTAATATCTAGAGAAAGTAACGTCCAGGGCAAAGTCTTCTCCTGCTCTCCAAGGAGGAAGGAGTGAATAATCCAGACTAGCCTTCAGACTCAAGACTCAAATACAGGAGTAACAAGCTCTGGTGAGAAGTGGATACAAGGTAAACACCCCAAGGTGCACCATCAGTATCCCAGGCAGTACCTGAATGGTCAGCCCAGCTCCACACCCTTTGGTGAACAGGGAAGCATCTCTCCGGACATCTCCCCAAGTAAGGAGATGAAGGAGCAACATGGATAATGCACTTGCAGATAAGGTGAGACCCAGGATAGTGCAGTACCAGAGCAGACTGGTCTTGGTGATTCCTCCATTTCTACACAAAGAAAAGGAAGGAAGCTGGGAAATATATCCAGAAGAATCTCCTGGGAATGCACTGCCAACAGAGCCAGCGCACACACCCACCTGTGTGCTATCTTTGCTCTGCTTAGGCTAAGACAGTAATAGATTTCCTATGCCAAAGTCAAATGCCTGGTCCTGAGATATACATGTGATGATTTAAAAACAATTATTTAAGTCACACAAACACATTTGAATAAGAATGTCCAGAGGAATCTCCTTGAAAGCAGGAAGGCTGTCAAAAGAAGGAGCTAGCAAGGAGCAGGGCCATGGTGATTTGCAGGGCAAGTAGTGCAAGTTGACAGCACAGTCCCTCCCTGGGCACAGCTCATCTGATACCACTGCCCTAAAATAAAGCATCTGGAGTCACTCTTCACACTTGCACACTGCCACACGAACAGCAGCCTGGCTCATGCACTTTACAGCCATAACACAGATGTCCATGACATTCCTCAGTTGAAGAGACCCAACCAGCCCCAAGTAGCATGCTGAGAAAGCTCTTTCTCCAGGAAAGCTGCTTTTTGCTGGTGCCCAAATCAAGAAAGATCACAAAAAAGGGAACCATCTAAAACAAACAACTGATCCACATATAGGCACTTTATTAGATCAACCTCTTTCAGTCTGCTCCCATTTAGCTAGAGAAGATGCCAACAGAAGTTAGAAAAAGGTATATTACAAAAAATTAGTTTCTCCTCCAAACCCAAGAGGCTTGCATTAATGCAGGTCTCAGCCTAGCTCCAGTTAGAAAAAAATATATCCATTTACCTAACTTCTGGATAGGGCCCAGAAGAAGTGAGAGAAGCATTGTTCTTGTTAGCCACAGGAATTGACAGCAAACCACCCACTGCAATGAATGACATCTAAAGCACTGCCATCCCTGTGGGACCAAAAGGCCCAGCAAACTGGACAGTCTGGTTCTATTTTCACCCTGAGACTGATGGCAGTGTGCCCTGGGCGCTGGACAGTGGGTCTTTAATTGGAGAAAATAAATGCTCCAAATAAATATGTCAACTAAATAAATGACACATTTTTGCAAACAAGTAACAACACCAGAAACTGCCTGCAAAGATGTGTGACCTCAGGACATTCCCCCTCCCCCTCCAAGCTTGTGCTCCCCTCATTTCTTGTCAGCAGCAGAGGGGCTTCAAGTTTTTCAAGCACCAGGAGACCAACACTCACGTTATAACCAGGGCGAGCTGTCAGCAGCACAGACCAAAACATAAGTCTATCCCCAAGCTGAAAGATGCAGTCCTGGTGGCCCCAGGCCACTGGGGTCACAGCCACTGAGCAAGGATTAGCAAAAGATTGCTATACGGGTCCGGTCTAGTCAGAATATACAGCACTCCTGGCACAGGGAACCAGGGGCTTTCCCTGCACAGGAACAAGGTTTCCCCATAGCTACAGGAAGGAAAATATCCTTGCAAAATCCTTTCCCCAGCTCCAAGACTGCCACCTGCAGTGTTCCCCCCCACTCTTCAGCCTGGTGACCAGGCAGGAGTTTCTCCATCATCTTTTCCAGGTTGGACTGAATAAGGCACAGCTGTGGCTGTCCTGGAGATCAGAAATACCATGGGCTGTAAGGAAGTATGTCTCTTTATCAGAGCCACAACTCACTTGATCATTCACTTATTTGAAAAATAAGCTTTTATGCTCAGTACAGCTTCTTGCTCTTGCCAGAGCCAAACTTGCTCACTGAGGGCAGCTTTGCTTTAGCAGAGAGCTCAGGATTTGGCCCTCCCTCAGGTAAGGGAGAAATGATGGCATATTTTGCTGCATTCAACATCCCATGATCCTTCCATTTTTTGAATGTGGTCTAACTGGCTTCCCAAACACTGAAGCTCTCACCCCTTGGGAAGAAAGCTGGCTTTCAAAAACCATCCCATCAGTCTAACTGCATTCAATATAGAGAAACTTGAAAATGGTTGTGGGATTTTCCAGCTTCCAATGCAGCTCTGGTGCTCTGTCCTCTCAGAAGCAGACATGGGAGTGCATAACTACTGCCTGTTCCCAAAATGCAGATCACCTTTGCTCAGAAGAGCAAGTGACATCAGGTAGCACACTCTCCTCCACTAGCAAAGCACATCTAAGTCCTTAGGCCAGGGTCAGCAGTGGCAACTCTGCACCATTTTCAGAGGCCTTTCACCACCCCAGGCTCAGACTTCCACACAGCCCTGCTTCACCATCCTGCAGGGTAAATGGAGCCTGGAGATGAACAGGATGCAAATAGGAGGTGAGGTGACATGGCTGCATTTCTGCTACTGAAGCCAGCTCTCTCCACGGCAGCAAGAAGCACACAGCTCGGTGGTGATAAACGGCCTTGCTTTAGTTATCACTTTCCTTAAGTTAAGGAGAGCAGCCTAGTGATGGATGGGCTGGAATTCGGTTATCAGGGAAGGCTGTCAGCCAGAGTTGCCTATCTCCACACACATTTAGCAGGGCGTCATTATGCGATGGCATGGAGTTAAAATATGACCAAGGGTACTGAAAGAAAAAGAACAAGATTAAAAAAAAAAAAAAAAAAAAAAAAAAAAAAAAAAAAAAAAAAAAAAAAAAAAAAAAAAAAGGCAAATTGAGCAACAATAAAGGAGCATGAGGCAAGAATGTTATCATACCAGTGACACCTTTTATCTCAGTCTGGTTAGCTAAAGCAGGGCACAAATTGGTCCTTCCTCCACTATTGTATCCTCTTGTACAAACAGAGGCAGATAAAATGTGTCACCAGTGCGATAGCATATCAATTTAACCCTAATTATCTAGAGGGTCAAATGAAGAAATAGGGGTTTCTCGTTTCAACAGGTCCCTCCATCTCTGCTCAGAGCCAACACATTAATATGGAAGGGGGAGGGGCAGCCATAATTGATTTCCGTCACTCAGGTGGTTCTAGTGTATAAAAAATTAATGCTTGATTCTCCCAACTAATCAGAGCTGGTTAACGTCCATCTGCTTCTGGGTTCAGGATGTCAGGAGACAAAGAAATTGGGCCACTTGCTACACACAGGGCATTGATATCGAGGCAGTTAAAAGTTCCTCTATGGAAAGATAAAGGGACATTAAATCTTGGGGTTTATAGACCTGATCTTAACCTTCCAAAAAAATCCATTCCCTGGAGACCTTGCATTGTAAGAGATGCAGAACATTTTAATTGTGTCCTGACCAACACTTGTGCATTGGGCTGCAAAGGAGAGCACTGGCAGGCTCCTGCCATAGAAATCCTTCACTGATGAAGGAAGCTGCTTGGATGCTGAAGTGCAAAACAGCACCATGGTGAAAGAGAGGAGCTGTCAAACCACCTCAGCTGGGCCCCTTCGTTCAAAGCCATGCTGGTCAACACTCTGGACCACACAGCTCAGAGGTACTCTTCTGTTTTATTGTTGCATGTCTGCCCAGCCAAGAGGAAAGCTTAGGTGTCCTCTCCCAACAGCA